GGCCCGGGCGGGGCGGCGGGAACCCGGGAATGTGCCAGGAGGAGGCCAGCTCCGGGTAGAACTGAAGGACAGGGAGTGGGACTTGGAGTCTGGCTTTGAACTTGGGGAACTTATTCCCAGTGAGCTGTGGAGGGGCTGTTGCTGAGGCAGCCCACCCGAGTCTTGGGTCTTTGCCCATCACACAGCCAAGACCACCCGTGTCTGTCTCACGGGAAAAGCCCAAGTTGGGAGGAAAGGCTTTGAGGAGCTGGAACAGAAACCTCCCAAGCCAGTCTTTGATCATTCTGAATTCTGCCCTTGAGTAAGACAACTTGCGCCTGGAGCTTGCCTGACCTGCTGCCCCTGGCAGGCTCTGAGGGAGTCTGGGGGCAGGGTGTCATCTTGTAACCCTGCACGTCCTCAAGCTTTCCCGCCGCCCAACCCATGGACTCACTTTTCTGAGTTCTGTGTTAAAAACGGAGTTCTCTTTGCTACCAACTGAGTTGTGTTCCCACGAAAGTCCTATATTAAAACCCTAAACCCTGGGCTGGGGACATAGCTCAGTTGACAGAGTGCTTGGCTCGCTCGCTCGCACAGGCCCTGGGTTCAATCCCCAGCACCACACACACAAAAGAGACCCAGAAGGTCAGAACTGAAGGTAAGAAATCATGTGAGAGACGTTGCAGCTTTGCAGGTGAGCGGAAGGAGGGCCCAGGGAGAGGGCAGCCTGCAGGCCAGTAAAGAATAAAAAGCCTTAAAAAGAGGAGGAAAGCGCCCCTAAACCCCCGTGTGACTGTCTTTGGAAGTAAGCTTTAGGAGGTGATTGGAGTTAAGTGAGCTCACAGGCGCCGGCTTTCCATCACCCCGAGTTTGGTGGAGTGACCTCGTTGCTCGGGCCTGAGATGAGGTGTAGAGAGAGGCCAGGAGGAGGGGCCAGGTACACATGTACTCTTCAAGGTCACAACCCAGGACCCACCCCCTCCCAGACTGCTCACCCACCAAGTGGATTGATCCAGTGATGGGTTTAGAGCCCCACGGTCCCATCATTACCCCACGCCCCACCTCACTGCTTTGGGGACCTAGCCTTCGACATGAACTTCCGGGGGACATTCTAGGTCTAAGCCTTATCAGTGCCCTAGTAAGAAGAGAGAGAGAGTCCTCCCTTCATGCCCATGCACCAAAGGAAGGGCATGTGCGCACCCCGGGAGAAGCCAAGCCAGGGAGCAGCTAGAGGAAAGGGTCTCTGGTCGCTCATGTGAGCTGGAGGAGAGCCTCACCAGACAGCCTGCGCATGCTGCACCCTGACCTCAGGGCCAGCCTCCAGGGCTGTGAGTGAATCCATCTCTTTTGCTCTGTGCCACCCAGGTTGCGGTGCTTTTTTATGGCGGACTAAGACGATGACTTATTCTGATCTCAGGCATCCAGGAGGTCAGAGGCACCGAGCTGTGACCTCCACAGTTGAGGCTTTTCTCAACAGCGGGCTGAGGTGGTCAGCTTCAGTGCAGAACAGCCTGGTGTTGGAGCGCTTCCGTTTCAGCACAGGAGAACGCCTTCAAGGCAAGGTGTGTCGGCAGAACCTTCTGCAGTGATAGGCCAGGCACCTAACACACACCTTGCACTCTAGCAGTGAGTAAATCACGCCAGAGGGAGAAAGCAGGCCAAACCGGTCTGGGTCCAAAGGTTGGAAACTGGGCAAGTGGGAGACAGAGATGCTAAGGTCTCCAAAGCCACCGGTTCCGCCCATCCTAAGGAATCGAGAGCAGGACTGTCCTGGAACCCGCACGGACTTGGCGGCATCGTGGGCAGTGACCGTCCTGCAGAGCAGCAGGGGAGGGAGAGATGTGTAGGAGGCCAGAGCAGGAGGGGTTGGAAATGACAGATCCCATGTGGTCATTGAAAGTACCATTTTTTTTTTAAGAGAGAGAGAGAGAGAATTTTAATATTTATTTTTTAGTTCTTGGCGGACACAACATCTTTGTTGGTATGTTGTGCTGAGGATTGAACCCGGGCCTCACGCATGCCAGGTGAGCATGCTACCGCTTGAGCCACATCCCCAGCCCTTGAAGGTACCGTTTGTCAGCGCGTGAGCCAGCCCTGGGGAGTTCGTAAATACTGTGTGTGTGCATCGAGGATCCTGGTGTAGTAGTCGGTGAGCAGCCGTTTAAAAGGAAGGAGAGGGGGCTGGGGATGTGGCTCAAGCGGTAGCGCGCTCGCCTGGCATGCGTGCGGCCCGGGTTCAATCCTCAGCACCACATACCAACAAAAGATGTTGTGTCCGCCGAGAACTAAAAAATAAATATTAAAAATTCTCTCTCTCTTAAAAATTTTTTTTTAAAAAAAAAGGAAGGAGAGAATCCTGAAATCACGCTCTGGGGACAGACTGAGGAGGGGAAAGAAACTGAGCACCACCAGGCAGGGATGGGTGGCTTGGGAAACACGCCTCCTTCCACCAAATGGTCTTCAGAGAGTTGCGTTGGATACCATGCAAAACTCAGGTGTTTAAAATGTGTCCCTCTGGTCACCAGGATGGTGGGGTGTATTTTGGCAGATTATAGGTTCAGAGTGTGACTCACTCTGTTCAGGATCCACCTCTGAGTTGTCCTGAGGTGGACTTACCCGTCTCACACTCAAGTTCAGGCTGGAAAGGCATGGCCAGGTGGCCGTCTTCCTACCCCCTCTGTTCAGCAGGAGGGGCGAGAAGGAGGGCGCTGGGGGGGGGGGCGCTCCGGGGCCAGGCTCACGGGCCGCCAAGGGTGGGGCCCAG